TTTTTCGTGGTTTTTGTATTAGACCCGTCGTCCATTTATTTGTAAGTAAATGGTCAAACATGTCGGATTGTAATTGTTTTTAATTTGTTTAAAGAGCATTTGAAAATTGTGATTTTAATTAATAATTTCATTAAAAAACTTACAAAGCATTTTCCATGCACTCATTTCTCTACCAGACTTCGATACTTTCGTGTGGTTTAACAATTCGTTCTCAGGTCCCGTGTCTGATGCCTTCTCAGCCACAAAGGCTTTATCTTCAGATTCGGTCTGCTGCCTCAATTTTGTCATTTCTTCTAAAATCTTAGGGGTAGCTTTTGACGCTCCCCGGTAGAATTGTAACGATTTTAACGCTTCCTGAAAATGCAATATTTTAATACTTTCTATTTACGACATCTGTTATAATGTACGTACAGTTTGTTGGTCGTAAAATTTTAATTCAGATTATCACGCAGTATGTCGTTGCTTAACCGCTCACGCGATGCGGCTATTTGGTTTCGCAAATTAGAAAAGCATTCTGTTTAAATACAAAATTTTATAAATAAAAATTATTATTCTGCATTGCTAAATAAATACCCTCCGTACTACCAACAAAAACATCTTAAATAAACTGCAGTAATACACCGCAAATCCTGCACTTAAAAAGCACTAATGAAATTTTTGGTGTACTTGGATAAATATGATAATATTCCGTTTGAGTGGTTCTAACGTTTACCATGAAATTACTCCTTAAAGTATAGTTTATAAACATTTATATTCAGTGTAAACTTAAAAAACGCTACTTACGGTATGTTTTCAATAAATAAACACCGAAATCACCAGCCCAAACAATAACACACCCGATTGTCGTGACGTATTTTTGAAGTAGTTTATTTTTTTTAAATGACAGACCCAGGCATTAAAAACTTTATGGTTTGCTAGAGTAGTTACCGAAATAGCAATTAATATTAGTTCTTTTACCTGTTATAACTTCGATAACCGATAAATCGGTATAAAATCATCACCGGCACCTCCGGTGGTATGCGTCTACGGCTGCATGTATCGCGTGAGCGGTTAAGAAGAGGGCATCGTAAACTTTGTACCCGAAAGTTACCAGGTCATAATGATCACTTTTGATCAGAAATAAATAAAGATCAAAGAATAGAGAGGCAAAATCTCAGAGGCTATCTTTTGACCGAAACGTGTTACCAAATTGTACAAGAAAGTTACCAAGTTGAATCGAAGAGTTTTACAAATAATTATTTACCTTTTCTCGTCTATTCGCAGTCAAAAATGCTGGAGTCTCTTTCAAACAACACGACAGCACAACGAACAAAACACTTAAAGACAAATTGATGTAGTTCACTACGTCATAACTACAAAACCATCCGATTAGGTACGCAAATAAGACGCCAAACATAAATGCGATAAGGAGTATGGAACTCAAAGTTCCTCTATAGGAATCCTGGCTGATTTCTGCAACGAAAGGAAAGTTGATGACTGCTTGGATCCCTGTTACTAGGCCGAGGATCGTTCTGCCCATTATAATAAAATGTATGCTTCTGGCTGCTGTTATTATAGCCCAAGATATCTGGAAAAGAAAATCATTTTTAAGATGGTATAAGTCAATGGTAACAAGACTATCAATGTTCGTCCTTTCATCCTCTCTACATATTTGAGCTACAAATGACTTTAATACATTAGATGAGAGAGTTTAATGGGTTACAAATAAAAAACATACGAGATGTTATCGCTCAAATGGACCAAACCCGGAACAGCTTACCACTAATCCCAAGGCACATAAAATACAAGTCTTCTTCTTCCCTATCCTGTCTGACAGGCATGCACTGAAGAGCGTCGAGAGGAAGTTCCCTAGCATTACCGTGGATCCAATTAAATTAGCTTCGAAATCGGAAATGGGCGAACCAGTGGGAGATTTTTCACTCTGTAGAACGTATAAGGCGTGAGATGGCCAAGCGAAACATGACCCCGTCAACATGCTCCCAATGGACACTGTACAGATAAAATTTGTAATAAGTAACTCATGAATTATGTATCGCTGGTCTCAAACATGGATATTCCCTGTACTGCCCAGATCCAGAACACTACCCAGAATATAAAAAACGACTGCTGTAACATGAAAACTTGAATGAGTTTATAATTTTTTTTATGATATCAAGTGATGGGACAAACAAGTCGTGCACCTGTTAGTAAGCGACACGAGTACCACTCTGAGCTTTAAATCACAAAGGTCTGAGGAGCACAGCCACTACGCCTGTCACCTTGAGACATAACTTGACAAGTCCCATGTGCCTGTAATTTACTTATTGACGGTAGGTATAGGCAAGGTGGAAGTACTTCCCTTCTAATGAACTCTATCGAACATGTCCTAAAGTATCCTCGAGTATATGATCGAGTTCCGGATCAACTAATAAGGTCTGGGCAACTTGGGACGGTGTCTCCATTTTTAAATTTCTTTACTCTGTTAAGATATTACTTAATTTGAGACCAAGCGTGAGTTTTAGGCACGTAATTTCTGACGCTCTTAAAAATATTGTTTCTACGTACTTATAGTCGACGCACAAATTTGAACCAGTATTCCTGTCATTTTGAACAAAGTATTCACTTATTACGAGTATAATCAAACATGCCCAATATCACGAAAGCAGAAGTAATGATGTACCTGCCGCTATCTTATCTCAGTCATAAAGATAGCTGTGTTTGGTAGCTGAATCTGGATGTTCAATTATTTTTAATATTATTTTAACTCGTTTGTGACCCAGGGTTTTCTAACAGTAGACAATTTAAGCCATCAATCTTCTCTCTCGTCTTCCTGTACAACATCTAAATTATTTAATTGTTTTTTTTTCATATATTTATTTATGTAAGCATGTGTACCTACGTGTAGATATTTCTGTGTTTGTGTGTTACAATACTTATGTAAGTAACGTCGATTTTTTACTAAATTTTATTTATGTAGTTTATTATATTTCTTTCTCATTCTCTCTCGCACGCTGTATATATACGAAACTATATTCGATATTCATGGCCTACTAATGAAGGACAAGCCAGCAAGTAAAAGCCGCAATGTATTACGGATCATGTGTCATATACTCGTTTACGTATTTGTTTACTCGATAATTGTTACGTTGTAACGGTAATTGATTTTAAAATAAATTGTACATTATTCTGTATACAAAATGACTTAATTGTGGATGGAAACGTCTCTGTTTATTGATCTACTCACGAGTGTGGTGTTTTTGCAGTTTCTAATAGCACAATTAGGTAGGTTAGGTTTCGGCTGGTGTTTAATTACGAGACGTAGCAGTATCAACTAAATGTTTTTATATTACATTGTGCAGGCGAAGTAGATACACTTGCGTCCTCTATGTAGATAATCTGCTGTCCGATAAGTAGATTACCTGATAAGTATCTTTAATTGATTTGTTACATTACTTCTACAAATTTATTGACAGACGGACAATTTCGTTCATATATATGGAATTGTTTTGGAACTTTTGGCAAATATTTGTCTGTCTGCCGGTAAATATTAAACGTGTTGTTGACTAAATAAACTATAGAAGTATTCAAATGTATTAATTGTATGAAAAAAAAAGTCAATACAAACGCAAATTTTTGTCTTGTGTTGGATACAAGCAAGCGGCAACAAGAAGCGAATATTTTATTTTCATACAACTCGTGACGACAACCGAGCGGTTCGTTCTGTGTACCGTTTAGGTTCTCGGGTGTTTTTTTTTACAAAAAAATAAGTGCGCATTTCATTTGGGGTAATGCCGCCGATATCAATAGAATCTTTGTCCTGCAGAAACGTGCAGTTAGGGCAATTTACAATCTGGGCCCCAAAGTATCTGATAAGTTTAAGGAAATTAACATTCTTACACTAGCCTCACAGTACATTTATGAAAATATAATTTATGTTAAAAGGAATAGTAATTTCTTTATGAAAAATAGTGACAGTCTACACATTAATACGAGGAATAAAAATAAACTAGCTTTTCTTGATAGTCGTCGTCACAAAGTCAAAAAATCATTTAAGGGGCAATGTATACGCTTCTATAACAAGATTCCGGTTGATATACAAAATTTGCCTTTCACGAGGTTCAAAACTATAGTGAAACAAAAACTTTATACTAAAGGTGTAAATAAACTGTGAGGTAGTAACCCGTTTAGCTCAAGGAGGTAGTCTCGATCTCTGATGTTTCAAATAAAAAAAATAAATTGTAAATGTTATTTACAAAGATCAACCCCTAGAGTTTCTTGCTTATTCTTCTCAGGGGAATCTGCATTACGAATGAGCGGTAGAGTTTAACCATTGTGACGATTTCAAGTGTAATAATGCTTACCTATGAAATAAAGATTATTTTGAATTTGAATTTGAATTTTGAATCTCCATTTCACCTGATGGAAAGTGACGATGAGGTCGACGATGAAGCATGGTCGCCTAAATAATGCCTATTCACTCTTGCCTTGAAAAGGTCCAAGTTATAGCGTTCGGGGAATCAGGCAGGGAATGCCACTCCCTAGCCGCTCGCCACGTAAATGTAGAAGCGAAAAGCTTCTTGTGAATCCTGGGAATATCCATAACATAAGGGTGGAACACCAGCCCACGTTTAGTCCCCCGATTATGGAAAGGGGAAGGCGGCATCAAATCGTGCAATCACCAAACCGCACACTCTTCGTGATGTATCCTGTAGAATACTCATAAGCAGGCAACTTTACGACGGTGTTCAAGGCCGTGCAGCTTCGCTTCTACTAAATCCGAATCCAAGAAGTCTCTTAAAGTTAAGTTTAGGAGTACCTATGCCCGTAAAAATATACATAATTTCATTAAGGAATTAGATATCCATAATATTTAACTAAGTCCAAACTTATGGTATCACGATTTCTTTTAACTAAGGTAAACGTTCTTTTATGTGGAACTGTATACGTTTTTACAATAAGTTTACAAGATTATCATTTCCTAAATTTAAAACTTACATTAAAAGTATTTTAGTTGAAAAGTCATATTACAAAATTGAAGAGTATGTTTTAGATAAAGATATATGGAAAGACGACATGAGTTTAGATTCATATTCATATTCATTTAATCATTGCATTACATGGGTAGGTAGTAGTAGTAGGTATACAATTTGTTGTGATCTGCCATGTAACCTTGCAGGGCACCGCAATATTTACATTATTTACATAATACTACATAATATCCACTTTCAATTTAATAATTTACATATCTTTACAAATAAAATTCTTACAAATACAGTCAAATAAGGTCAAGTGGAACAATTAATAAAATTGAAATATGTCAATGGTAAGATTAATTGTCAATAAAAAAGAGAAAAATAAATTACAATAATTAAATAGATTCCAAAATTTAAACAACATTCAATATAATAACAATGACAATTAAACAAAATCTTAAATATAGGATAAACTTCCAAAAAACGCAATCAAAACTGTAAAATACTAAATTAAATTTATTTATTTTATTTTATCATAATTTTTTAAATTTTATTCTTTATTATTTAAATCATGATTAACAACTCAATCTCTATTCTCAAAAAACTCTTGTAGTGTGTAGAAGGATTTTTGTATTAAGTATTTCCTTAAACTTTTCGTGAACTTATCAATGTTAATCTCATTCCTGATAATCGTTGGGACTTTGTTATGTATTTTTAAACACATTATAAATGGGCCGGAGCTATGCATTTGCAATTTTGTAAGTGGAACAGGTATTTTGTGTCTAGGTCGCAAAGGTCGCTTATCGGTCAGTGGCTGCTCGTTTGGGAAAAGATGATTATGTTTCCTTATAAATTTGCTAATCTCTAAGATATAAATTGATGGCAAGGTGAGAATATTAAGTTTTTTGAAATATGGCCTGCAACTGTCTGTCGACCTAATGTTGGCCAATATTCTCACACATTTCTTTTGGCACACAAAAAGTTCGTTTGAACTCGAACTGTTTCCTCATAATGTCACTCCATATCGGAGTCGGCAATGAGCGCATACTAAGCTTCCGCTGAAGCTTAGTATGCGCTCATTGCGGTTTTAAGATCTGTGACCTTTTTTAGTTCCAAGAGGGCGTATGTAAAACTAGCCAACTTGGAGCATATTTTTTGATTTTATAGATTCCACACAAATAAGATCTAGAATGTATTCCATAGCATTTAAGTTCATTTGAAAAGAGCAATCTCTAGAGTTTCTTGCTTATTCTTCATACCTCATCTCGAATTAATTTTTTTCCCGTACTAATACGGCTCATTTTGCTTAGATCGAGCGCCAGAGATAACTTTTAAAGGCTTTACTTCAAAATGTATTTTTTTACAAACATAATTAAAGCAGTTTCAAAAATGTATATCGTATAGTATACGTGTTCTATTCAGTTCAGTTCATATTAAAAAAATCATTTGTATATATAATTGTATGTAACAGCGGTTTTCGAGGTAAGTTTGTGTTTTTTTTCTATCGCGAAAATCTTCAATTATTATTTATACTATACAGGCTGTGACTCTGAGACGGGGCAGCCAGGCCAGCCACCTTCATCGTTGTAGTTACAGGAAAACGGTTCTAGAAGACTATCCATGAATTTTGAAGATATTTTGATTGGATCACAGATTTTGAATAAATGGTACAGTCAGCAAGATAAAAGGCAATTTTCACAAAAAATTTTTATAGTCTCTATGGGACCAACTGAGGTAAGAGTACTCGAAATGTCATAAATCGCAAGAAACCTTTTACCGCACATTTTAAATGAAAACTTTTTGTTAGAAAAGAAACTGGCCACTACTCTACAAATAAGAATTAAGTACAACCAAATTATAATCATATCACTATGTTTTAAATTTGGAACAGCGGTAAACAATATACAGATGTTTTCCCAAGTTATTGATTCAACAGTTTCACTGTTACTTTACACTTTGCGGTTGTGGCAACCGGTAACAGTGTTCGATTGCCGCAACCGGCGACTGTGTCGATTTAATAAAATATTCGCTTCTAGTTGCAACCGGCAACTTGTATTCAGCACAAGGCACATGTTTGCGTGGCACCTTACTGGGTTCGGGTCGTTTTCAGATAACCTCCAAAAATGAGTCCCTTTCAATAACTTTTATGTTATTACATGAATGCTAAGCATTATTTATTTAATATGAATTGCTTGCTTACTTAGTCTGTGTTACACATAAAAAGACTACTTTAGTACGTCACAGTAATAAATAAAAATTAAAAGTGGACAATTTCTCATTCACGGGAGCCGGTTCCACGTCGCCCTAACTTTAAGAAAAGAAGAAAAAATTAAACACTCGTGGAAATCTCAATATGGGAAATATTGAGATTTCCATCGAGGTTACACTCTAATAACTTGCACGTCGAATGTATACCGTAACTTTCCAATTTATTATAAGCAAACATGTGTTCTTGGGAATACAAAATGTGTTTCAATTTTTCTTATCATTAGTGTCAATTCAACTAAAAGCCTCCTAATAACAAAAGTTCATACCGCATCACCTTCACCCTTCGCACACGTGAGAAGGGGCTCCTGTCGGATTGGAGTGTACACAGTGAAGTAACCTGTGCATCTCCGTTTTAGCATAAAATCGACTTAAATACCAATTTCAGCGCTAGTGACTAAATCGTTATCAT